GGGCACCTCTAATGCAGCTTGAGCTCAAATCTGGGTCACTCTGGATGTTGTGATACATTCTTCCTACCACATGAGGAAAAGAACTTAAAGCTGTTCTTGCCACCTCTTCCCTTTTGTCATTGCAAGCTATCAGGAAGCCTTATTCATTTATTTTCTTTGGAGTACTTTTCAAGTCCTCCCACTTCTCCATATCTGTATGCCACATCCTCATCTAAGCTACTCTCGTATCACATCAGAACTTCCCGCAAACTTCTCATCTGATCTACCCACATACACTCTTCCTGTCCCAAACTGTCCTCCAGATTACAGCAACATTTTCCAAACACCATTTTATTATTCATCATATTTATATTGCTTTTAGAACAATCATTTAAAAGCTCTTAACCTCACTTCCAAGTCTTCCAAATGTCTATTACAGATACTCAGTAGATACCTGTTGATTAGTGATTGTGGTGCTCTAAGATTTGGGGTGTACCTCTCTGGCAAGGTTCAAGTTACCTCATGGGCATGGACAGACCCTTAAAATTCCGGGTATCCTCTGTGCAGTACTTGTCTGTAAATGCTTATGACACTGACCTTGGTTTCCCAAAGACTTTATATAATGAATTATATTTGCTAACACAAAAATAACAACAAACGTCAAACTATTACTTAGCCTACTTTTCCTACCAAACAATTTTGTCTCCTTAATAATTACTGTCTCCTTATAATATTTCCAAATATATAGGTATATATATATTAAAATCACCAATATTTCTCACCCTTGCTGTAAATCTGTAAAATACTGTACTCCTAGACTTTTAGAAAACAATAATTTTAGAGGGGCTGGGGATTTAGCTCAGCGGCAAAGCACCTGCCTGGCAAGCGTAAGGTTGTGAGTTTGATTCCCGGTACAGGAAGAAAAACTACAAAAAACAAAACAAAACAAAACAACAACAAAAAAATTTTGGAAAAAGATTGGCTATAAGTTTACTAAAAGATTAATTTGGATAACAAAAATGATAGAATCATAACAAATAAGTTTGTTCACATGGCATTTCCACACAAATATTGAATTATCACAGATTTTTCACGGTATGACTATATTTACCTGTTGTAATATTCATTGCATATAACAGAATACCATCAAAACATTGTTTCTAACATTAAGACTATAAAAAGGAAAAGAGTAACACTTGTTCTTCCCTTGGAAATCATACATGCCACTTGGGTAAAAAAAAAAAAAAAAGGTAAGATTTCTAACAAAAGATAGGTTGGTTAAAGAAGACTTCTTGTAAGAAAAAAATTTTGAACTGAATATAGTTGCACCTGCCCGTGATCCCAGCACTCTGGAAAGCTGAGGCAGGAGAATTGAAAATTTGAACCTGCTATGGACAATTTAATAACTTAGTGAGACCCTAATAATATTTTTAAAATAACTTTACAAAAAAAGAGGCCTGGGAATATAGCTCTATGCAAAGGTCATGGGTTTAATCCCAGTCCCCCCCCCACACACACACATGGATTATATTCTTATCTGCATTAAAAGCCGATAAGAATACAATCTCCAGCGGAGGGAGGGAGGGAGGGAGAGAGAGAGAGAGAGAGACAGAGAAAAGACAACACCAGAGTAAGAAAAACTATAGGTACAGAAGCAAGAATAGTTAGAATTTAGATAAACAGTGATAAAACCATTCATCTAGAAAAAACAAGGATAGTTATAAAAAGCAATTTACATAATGTATTTATATGGCTATAAATGAGAGATTCTCAACCTATAATTCAAAATTTAGTAACAATACAGACCCTGAGAGACCAGTTTCCAATTTTCCTTCTTGCTACAACCAATTTATACCTCCTACCTGTAAGTAATATTAAACTCCAAAGAGGGGCTCTAAAACATTAATTCTACAACTTAGGAGTAGTTTCACATTTGAGTCAACTGATACCCTACATCACAGCTAAACTCCTACAGCCTAGAAGGATACAATGGGATTCTATTGTTCGTGAGAAGATTCCCCTCATTTATTGGAAAGTTTTAGAGTAATTCTTAATTTTTTAAAACATTGATCAGAAGTGAACCATGGAAATCATGTAGAAAAGATGGAACATTTCATTTTGTTGGATCCACTGAACATTTAGACTGCAATGATGTCTACACAGCCAAAATTCATTTCTTTGATATTATTCTTAGGTTACATTTTTCCTAATTTCAATATTTCTCTTATGTACTTGACTTTCTGTATGATATTTGTGTATCTGATTTACAATGGCAGTTACCATGGAAAAAGGAAGTGTGTTATCTCTTGAATTTTAACATAACTGCAAAAACTTCCCAAGAGAAATCAATCAATGCTTAATTGTTTGCTCGATCTTACATGCCTAGATCTGGTTATCTGAGTAACCAATTTGAAGATAACAATCTGTAATACAATAACTATTGTTAATTTCCTACCACCTTGTTTGAAATTTTGTATCGTTTTTACTGTTTTTGTGTTGTTTTGCTTGTCTTTTTTGTTATTTTGTTTTTGTTCTGTTCTCTTTAAAATAAAAAACAAAAAAAGTGGGAAAAAGGTCATTCAAATAAAAAAAACCATCATAATTCTCTTTATTGAAAAGATAAATGCATATGCATTATATTAGAAATTTTCAGGAAGCTATACAATTTAGAATTCTAAAATTATTTCCAAATTTCTATTCAAAATAATAAATATAGCAAGGAGAATAAGCGATTTTTGAAAAGCATTTGGAAGCCATGTATAAAACCAAGAATTTTTCTACCTACGGAAGTCTAAGATATTCCTAAAAAACCTACTAAAATATTAGTAATAGTGATGACTATAAAGGTGAAGGATACATAAAAATGTTACCAAGTTCCAACATGTGCTTAAGGACTTGTGTAGCCAGAGAAGTTACATGGATGACCTGGTGTAGAGATGGGTTCCTAGCAGCAGCATTTTTGAATCAGAAGACAAAGGGAGATTCAGCTGTGACAAAGTTCAATGCTGAGAATGCTTTTGATTGTTTGGGAAATAATAATGCTGTCTAAAATGTGAGACATGCTTACTATGTAGAAGGCTGTGTTCTAAGCACTTTTACACACTTTAAGTCATTCAGTTCTTTCAAGGATATCAGGAGTCAGATACTTCCATCAACATTTTGTAGAGGTGGAGATTAAGGCAAGAAGATAAGTAACTTGCCCAGGGCCAGGAACTCCTAAGTGGTAGAACCCAAATTGGAAACCTGACCCAGGCCTGGACTCTGTAACCCGTCATAGAGTTCCTCTCTAGCCAGCAGTTCACAGGAACAACCCCCCACCCCAGGGCCCCACAGTCAGATTGAGCATCCGTGTGAGTCTGCACAGAAATTCTAAGAGCCAAGAACTAATTCTAAGAGCCAAGTATTATGTCTCTGTTTTAAAGAAGAGGAAACCGAGACATAGCAGGTCCAGGATTGGAACCTACAATTCATCTCACGTTCTCAACTTCTCCCTGCTTAGCTGAAATAGAGACTTGTAAAGTGGATTCACAGAAAATGGAAGTCAGCAAAGGCCCCATAAAAAGGATTTTGACTAAAAATTTATGAATATAGGCTTGAGACCCAGTCCTCGATACAGGTGTTCAATACATTTCATAGAATGAAAGAATATAAAATTGAGGGAAGCTCCTCTTCTGGACAGTCAGTGGTAGCATAGATCACAAAATGAAATAAATTAAATAACCACAACCAAACAAAGCTAGGTTTTTTTGATGCTTTGTTTTGTTTTGTGGGGTTTTGTTTTGTTTCCTTTGCATATGCTTTGCCTGCAGCTAGAGTACACATCCCCCACATCTGCCAAACAGTGCTGCTGTGGCCTTCTTACTTGAATAGCCACGCTTCTGAAAAACCTGGGTAAGTCGGTTTAGTGAGGTTTCCCAGTCTATTATCCTTTCACTAAAACAGCTGAACATCTTCACTAAAAAATAAAAAGGCACCCTCAGTAACCCATAATTTCTTTCAATTGTGACGTGATTTAACAGTGCTGAGGTCAAATTCAAAACATGTTTCATTTCAGTCCATCCCGAGAGTCTTTATTTCATAAAGAATTTTTAACCAAAACTGTTACTCCTATTGCAAAAGCTTCTAGAAGACTTTAGCATAAACTGGTATCAAAAACTGTTTCATTATTGGTTTTGTTCAGTGAATGAGACTTCATCAAAGAGAGGCGTTTCCCTTCTTCCCTCTGTTAGTCTGTCACAGGGGCTAAAACTTCATCTGGGTTTCTTCATCTCAAATAACACAAGAAAAACTACAAATTTAGGAAAATGGGCTACGTTCTTTCTGGTCCTTTATTCTCCTGTTTTTCCACCTTTGAGCCTACAGGGGGCAGTATGACTTCCGTAATAACCTAGTCTGCTCATGTTCTTAACAACGGTTTTGCTGGGTGTAGTATAAAATGAAATATAGCTATGTTTTTTGGGTTTTTTTTCTTTCCTTTACTAAGCACTTGACAATGAATTGGTAACATCTGTTTATTTTTTTAAAAAGATTTCCTTCTGCAGAACTTGTCATTACAGTATCTTAGCTTTTATTCAAAAAGGTTTTTTTTATTTGTTTTTCCTGAAGGGACAGCCTATCTGCTAAGGGGAAATTTAAAAATAAAATAGTTTAAGATAAAACTCCCAATATTTTTATCACTTATTTTCATTGAAGACTTTGCACAGGTATTTCCTTTATTATTAATTGGACCTTATATTTTTTAATAGATGATGTTCCCATTTGAATGCAATTTGGAAATAAACATTTAAAACAGTACAGGTTGAAATGGTAACGTGACTTATTTTTTTCTCTCCGTTTCAGCTCAGTAATTGAAAGCCCTCAATAAAAATTTCTTCAGCTGTTCCACAATGAAAGAGATTCGTCCACTGGACTAGAGAGAAACTAACAAGAAAATCAAAGTGCAAATAAATTTTAAGGATGTAATTTAACCCTACAAACCATTTGTCTTCTTTCTTATGATCGCTATTGTTTTTGGTCTACAGGGACCGGGCCCCTTTTATTTTTACCTCAGAGATGGAGTACTTTATTACGGAGGGTGGGAAGAACCCACAGCATTTTCAAGATTTTGTGGAGCTTTGCTGTAGAGCATATAATATTGTCAGAAAGCACAGCCGACTGCTCTTAAACCTCCTAGAAATGGTAAGTCCCTCCGGGAAATAACAGAAATAATAAGCTTCATTTGTGTCTCTCCTGCAGTAGTCTATTTTTTGCTAATGGCTTGGAGTTCCCCAAAGAGCTATTCAAAACAGAAAGAAATGAAGAAATTAAGAGGACCAAGGTGCAGCTTACAAAAACACTTCTTGAAAATTCAGTTTGTTAGTTCATAGTTACTGTCTCGAGCATTGCTATTCACAATATTGATGCATTCAAACTTTATCCCAGTGTGTTTTGAATGAGGCTCAAGGACAGTAGCTTACAATATAAAGCCTTCAGCTGTATTGTGCATTAAGAGTTTTAAAAAACGCCTTGAAAATCCTATCTCACACATTCATGACGATCCCAGGGATATAAATCAAACAAGGTGTTTTTCTGTCTCCCTGTCTTTATCTCTGTCTTTGACCTACTTCCTTATTTTTCAGGTCAAGAAACTGAGAGTTGAAAATGTAAAGTGATGCTAGCAATTTAACCAGAAAGTATACAGTTAGTGGTATAAATAAAGTCTATTGAGATTTGACCCTATATATTCTGTTGACCATTAAATGAATTTTAATGTTTTATCTCATTGTCTAGTTCAGAGAAAGAATAGATATACAGGGGGTACAGAGGGTACGAATCTGATAGAAACATCTTCTGAGAGAATGGTGTGGTAATTCCTTGGTGCACATATGTGCATGCTAGTAATTCCTGCAATGTATAAGAGAGAAAAGCACCAGTGGTTCATCGATGTGGAGTCTGGAGCTTTTAGATGACAATAATTCTGCTAGATATTTTTTTATAAGCACAGGCCCCATGATTGAGCCTCTTATAGCTTGAATCCTAGTTTAGCATTTTACTAGTTATATTCCTACAGGGATGTCACTTAACCCTAAAAAGACTTTTCCTGCCAGCTAAATCAATATCTACTTGTACAGTTTATGAATGATCTAGTAATTAATGTTTTGCATAGACCAGGCACTGTGCTAAGTGCTTTATAAGTATTGATGAAAGTACATTCTACCATGGCCCTGATTGATAAATAATGTAAAGCACTTAGAATAGTACCTGCCATATAATAGGTTTCAATTAACTGATGGTATTGTACTAGGCATTTGTTAATGTACACTTTCAATTTTCAAGGGTTCAATGCACACATGTAGCTAATGACATCATAGTGGACACACAGATATGAAAATTTCTGTCATCACAAAGAAGCTCCACTTTGTAGTGCTGAATTGATGCTGACTTTGTTACAATGTAGATGTGATTTGGATTCTATTTAAACTTTCAAACAACATATCCACTTCTCTCCTCTCTGCTTTGAAAAACAAGGATTTTTAAACATACTGCAAATGTGGCATTCATGCAAAAAGACACTGTGGAATCGTCTTGTGGAAAGTGGACATACACGGTTCTGACCATATCCAGAATTTTCAGGTTGCCTTACAATAATAGTCAATGATTCTATTGGTAGATCTGCATTCTGCCCCCTAATCTTATGCAATCACATTTCCATTATGGGGTGACTTAAGTTTTGTAACAAGCTGCAACCTTACCACAAAGGAAACACTACAAAGATTAAGCCCATGAACATGGTTCCATTTATACATGTAATAAATATTCAGGCAGTTTCAACTTTGATGCTGATATATGTTTGTATCTCATGTTGCTAATGTTTAATCTCCAGCAAGATCTGCCTCATGAATCCATGAGTTTTATGTGTGCTTACTATGTGCCGGAAAATGTAAAGGAAACAGTAACATATAAGGCCCAGAGCTCTAATATTTTCAATCTAATAAGGAAGATAAAATTATGCACATGAGTAAGTGAGGTATGAAGCATTTCTAAGTGCCTATAAATGCTATAAATAACTGCATGGAAGGAGTAGCTCCAAATTATAAAAAATCTTCAACCACGACAATATCTCAAAAATAAATCTAAAGCAGGAAAACAAGTATAGTTTATGCTGTTGCTCAGGTGGCACTAAGTTTATGCTGCATGCCAAGTGGTATATTAAGATAATATGAAGGAGAGCTTCCCCCTCAAGATCCAGAAACTATTAGTGGGCTTTTTCTTCTTGTTTAGTAAACTTTTCTATATACCTTTGAAAAAGATACAGCTCATGAGTTATTAAATCATACAGTCATTAGTTTGTGTAATGTCATTTCATTTAGAAGACACAGACATATGATATTTTAACCACAAGTAATAAAATAATTTCTTATAAATAATATTAAAATCAGCTAATGAAGTTTCTAGTATATAATATATCAAAAATAATCTGTGTTCTAATTAAATCAAGTCCTGATTTCTGGGCAAAAGAAAAAAGTATGGCAATGGATGATAATACTTCAGCTTAAGCATATAACCTTAGATTGAGACTCAAAAAAACTGCAGGAGACACTAGAAGTCATGTGAAGTAGTTAACCTTGGATGAATGTAAGTAAAATAGCACCGTGTTATTACTTCCTTTTCTGGCTGTTTCTCCCTCAATTCTCTTCTTTTACTCAAGTATATATCTTGTGGGACTCTGTAGATAAAGCCTTTGGTGAATGTTTCAGGACCACGTATTCTCTGGTAAAGTTTCTTATAAAATAATAACAAAGTGTAAATTTATGAGAGATTCTTTTCTACTTATGTATACACTGTCTCTTTCCTTCAATGCTCCCTCGGACTGACACTTGTTTTGTTATATTCTTTAAAAATAATTCAATCTGCTGCACCATGACCTAGTTACAACTTGAGAAATGCTTGACACAGGTCATAAATTCTATCTTCTAAGGATGGTCAGTACCCAGGATTACGAGCCAAAAGCATTTGGGGGGTTTACTATGGAGTTAATGGCTCATCCTCAACAAAGAACAACATGTTTCCAGATATCTGCAGTGTGTTTTTATTTCCTCCCGGGAAAAACAGGGGGAAAATAATCTATGAAATTCCCTTCCTGCTTAAAAGCAACATCTGTAGGAGGCCCAAGAGTGTTGCTGGCTGATTCACTCACATAAAAGCCTACATTTGATAAGCTTTTCTCTCATTAAAAAAGCAATATCAACTATTATAGAACACTCCCAAAGAACACAGGGACCATTCGGGCAGTTTAAAATGTTTATAACACCCATTATTATATTAGCTATTTCCCAAAAGGAACCTTTCTAACTTGTCTGTGTGGTAAGGAAGAGTGCCCTCTCCCCTAAGCATAACTATTTAAACCGGCTTAGACTTAGTGGGAGGAGGACAGCACATAAAGAAACTTTTAAAAAGCTCCTGTCCTTTAAAGAAAGAACTGACCTATTCATTGTCTGTTTCTGTTCAGTATCTATCTGTTTTAGCTGCTATTTCCTTCCTTGTGGCCCCAGTTATAGTGATAACACGCGAGGTCTAGACTAGGAGGCATTTGACTCTCACATTGCTACAGGTCAGAGAACACACAGATAAGTGGGTCCAGGCTATGAGCCTATTCTTATTGTGTGAATCCACTTAGCGACTGGTGTGTGTGTGCGTGTGTGCATGTGCGGTGGGAGAGGAAGATGTAGTGTGTTTATTTACAGTGTTTCCTTCCCAAGGAGATAGTTGACAAAATCCTGACCAAGAAGTTGTGAATTCAGGGTATCCAGAGAAACTACAGGGCAGTTCAGACACTAGAGAAGAAAGCTATTTTTAGGCAATGGATGCTCTTTGTGTGATAGAAAGGAAATTTGACTCAATAAAAACAAAAATATCTCCAGCACTCTCTAAGTACAGAGATAATAAGGTAAAACTTAACCTAGATGCTAATTTACATTGGGAATGTGTCTCTGTATGGGTGATTCTGTTACATTTAGGAGTCACTATTGAATGTGCTAGTAGTAGGTTTTCACAGCCTATTAGTATTAGGTACTTCTTCTTTCATTCATGTATTCATTCATCCAGGCATTCATAACTCCAGACATTCATTAAGTTCCAGCTATTTACAAAGCACAGTTCTAGATCACATTGACAGTTCAACACAGAATTAAACAGTTCAGTGTTCTCAAAGAACCACTTAAGAAACCAATTCATCAATTCCTGTTCTTAAAGAACTTAAGTCTAACATGCAACATTTGAGCTAAACATGGTAAAAGCTAAAAATAGTACTTTGAAAGAGGTACAGTGAAGACATGATTGCTATACAGTGAAAGCAGTAACTAAACCTCATCACCAGGATCAGTGATACTTCAAAGGGGAAGACACAGTAAGATGAGCCTCAGAAACTTTTTTCAGTAGAACAGGAAGAAAGGAAAGATACTCCTGGCCAGGAGAAAAGTATAAGTATGAATAGGGGTTTGAGGAGTTTTAGCATATGCTGGAAATAGAGGTAAGCGAGGGTACCCAGTCTGTCATACCCAGATGGAAACCTCTATAGAAGATACAGGTGAAGTAACAAGTCACAGGTATAGAAGACATTTCTGACCAGAATGAGGATCAAGTGTGTTTCTTTATCGTGAAGAGAGTATGGTCATAATATTAGACAAATAATTCACAAGTTATCATATTAAAGAGTTAGAGATTAGAGAAAATAATTTATTCAAGAAATCTAAGCAAATGAAGATAAACAGCCAAATTAGACCAGTGATAATTGCAATGCAAAAAGGTAAATGAATAGGTGTCTGTTGAGGGTTTGTTTTTTTTTTTTTTTAGAATTAAGTGATTGACAATGAAAATCCGGAAAAAGAGGGAACCAAAGAAAATATGAATTTCTTGTTAGTTAGACAGTGATAGCTTTGTAAATGGAGACATGAAACAGGAAAATGGAGGAAAGGTTTACAGAAAAGAATGAGTTCAGATTTAGACACTATGATTCTGAGATGCCAATGGATTGTCCATGAGAAAGGCTGACACGCCTCCAGGACCAGCTGATCAAGTTTCTTGGTCTCACTCATTATCTATAAGCTAACGACTCCCACATCTATATTTACATCTGTGTGCTTTGGACTGCTTTCATGTCTTTCTATTTTTTTTTTTTTTGGTTTTGGTTTTTCTCCGGTACCAGGAACCGAACTCACGACCTTGCGCTTGCCAGGCAGGCGCTTCGCCGCTGAGCTAAATCCCCAGCCCCTCATGTCTTTCTATATAGCCAATCAATCACTCAGTTGTCCTGATTCTACTTCCAGCATAGAATTAAAATCCTGTAATGCTCATATTCATAAACTAATTCCTAGTCCAGCCTCTTATTTGGCCCCTCTTTAATTCATTTTTCATACATACCCATAATGATCTTCAAGTTAAACTCTTGAAGAGCTCTTTCTTGCTTTTAGGATATAGTTCAAAATACTTACTAGTGGTTGGGGATATAGTTCAGTGGCACAGCACCTGCCTGGCAAGCACAAGGTCCTGAGTTCGATTCCCTGTACAAAAAACAATTTAATATTGCTATAATATCCTACCCTATGTGCCTTTCCTTCCCCATCTCTTGGTGCTCAGCCATGTGATTCTCCACCCTCCGGAAAGCCTTTGTGGATTTCTTTCTATTACCATGCTGCAGATAGCTTACTTAGTCTCTGATGTTCATTCAAACATTCAAACACTCAGCCCAGGTGGGGAGGGAGAAATAGAGAATAGTTTCAAAACCGTTTTTCTTTCTTATTTGAACTCCATCAAATCAGTTACAACTACACAACCATAATTAACTTATCATTGTAAGAGAGTCAATTCCAGAGCATGAAATATTGATCATCTTATTCATAAAATTATTTTTCTTCTTTTCCCTCTCCCTCTCCTTCTTCTTGTCTCACTCCTTCTCCTCTTTTCCATTCTTCTTGTTTTTCTTCCTTTTTCTCCTTGGAAAGGTTCTAACTTGTTTTATAAATATCTATTTGGCTCAAAAAAGTTTACAGCTAAAGAGAATATTCTTCCTTTGGTCTATAGTGTAATGTAAACACAGTATCTTCCTGAATATTGGCAAATATACTTGTATAACTTTGTCTAAATTGTTTCACTTCTTTAATAATCTTTAATAAATATAGTCACCACTTAATTAGGGAAAATTGCATTCTTCAAGGATGAAGCATAGAGTCGAGAGAAGGTAAGATTAAGAACCAGAAGTGTAAGTTTTATACTTTGCATTTTACTCATCATTTCACCTTGGCATGTCACTCAGGTTTTTGGAGATTCAGTTTATCTTCTTCAGAATTGATACTATTTCATACTTTTTTTTTTTTTCTTGCAGTACTGGAGACTGAACTTATTACCTTCCCACTGAGCTACATCACCAACCTTTTCTTTATTTGGGACAGGGTCTCACTAAGTTGCCAAATTGCTCAGGCTGGCCTTCAAAGTGCGGTCTTCTTGCCTCTGCCTCTTGGAGTTCTGAGATTACAAGCTCACCCCATCATATCCAGTTTTTGTGATAGTTTTTAATGCACAAAGGTCTTTCTCATTCATTAACCATTTGATTCTCCTGGAACATATTGGATAATTTTGTATTGCTTTAAGCATGAGAAAATAGAAGCTCAAAGAGGTTAAGGGACTTTTAGATGATCACTCAGATTTTTAAATGGTGGATCCAAACATTCTCACGGGAGGATAATAATATCATCATGCTTACTTCATTGGTTTGTCATGAGGATGAAATCAGAATATTAATCTACTAGTATTTTTCTGATTACAATGACTTTTTATTGTTATTTCTTCTACTACTAAATAGGGAGATTAAAAACCATATACTTACTTTCACTCATGAATTCAAACTCAAAGACACTGCTATGAAAACCTATAGTTATGTGTCTATCAGTACACTGAACCAAGTGATTTTGATTTTACCTGAACTTACTCTGTTTTCTTTTCTGGTTTTGGATTTGTTGGCATCAAGATGCTACATGCAGGATTGCCTGAGCTAAGTGGAATCGAAGACCTGAAATACGTGTATAACAACCTCCGTCCACATGACACAGACCTGGAAGGAACAAGTCATTTTACCAAGTAAGACGGGTGGAGAGGGCGTGAGTGAGCATGTGTGTGTACAGGGATACACGCATCTACATCTACATCTGAGGGGATTTCTGGTTGACCAGTCACTGGTGTGAAACCGCCATTTCTGAGACAAGTTTGTATCCTCATTTCCAAAGGACAGGAGCAGAATGGTGTGCATGTCTAGCAAAAGCCTGAGTCAGTGTTTCTGTAGCGGGTTGTTGCTTGCTAACCAGTCCCTTCATCTAACAGATTGCTCAATAAAAGGTCATTGGAAAGAGCAAGAGCTGACATAAATAAATTGGTTGTTCTACTTGAACTATGTCCAGAAAAACAGTTTGGAGAAAGAGATTTATGATGAGAAACGGACTCACTACTTTCATCTGTAAGACAATACAAATACTGGAACACTTGGTCCAAGACCTGTAACTATCTTCTATTTCTAATCTATTTTTTATTAAGCAAGTCTGGGAAAACACTAGTGTACATCATGATAAAAGTCTAGGTAGAATATAGTGCATGTCAATTCGACCCCAAATCATTCTCCAAAGGGCAGTACATTTTATAATATAATTTTGAACTTTCCTTTTTGAATGGATAGCATAATCCCTAACCTATTCTAGCTATTCAATTAAATTCCAGCTGTAATTATCCTAGTAAACAGTTTAAGTAGTGAAAAATAGCATTCTTTCTTTCTGATAACTTAATTGTGAAACTTATTTGAGTCTATTTTTTAATCATTCTAGTGTTTTCAACCACAAATTTATAAACAGAGTTGATATTCTTCTTAGTGGAGCATATGCTTTTTGTTTGTTTGTTTTTTTGTTTTTTTTTTTCCAGTACCAGGAATTGAACTCAAGACCTTGCGCTTGCCAGGCAGACCCTGTGCCGCTGAACTAAATCACCAGCCCCTGGAGTGTATGTTTTTAAAGAAAACAATAATTATAATAAAACCACTCCCACATTTTACTTTTTCTCTCCCCTTTCTAGTTTGTTCAGTGAGGAGCCACTCCCAAGGGTATAGGGAGGCTATGTGAGGATGTCACATGCACTGGAAAATTTCACTTGTCTCAGAGTCTTCTGTTCCATGACTTTCCCTGGACAGAAAGCACTTGTGGTTGGATAGAAGAATACAGAACCACAGACTATTAGAACTGGAAGAGCTCTTACACTTTATTGATTCTGACAATAAATAGTCAAATGAGGAAACTGAGCTCCAGAGAATTAATGGTCATGTGCACAATTAACAGATGAAACAAGAGAAAAAGCTAGGACTAAGATCCAAGTTCTCTCCTCTCTCTGGTCCAAGATTTTTACAGCAGTCAATACTGGAAATTATATGATAAATAATACCAGGAAGCACCTCCATTTAAAATAAAGTTCCTGTTACCTAGTTAGTCTTTTTAAAAGTTCCACCATTTTGGAGATCCAATAGGAAAGCCAGGCAGAGTTTTATTTTTCAATCTCCAAGTGTCCTTTAATAATATAGTTACCTGTGGAAGACATACGTGTTTATAGCCATCACTGATATTACTTGACAACTGACCAAGGTCAAAACTTTGGCTTGAATAATTGGGTAGTAGTTTAGACCCATTGTTTCCAGGATCAGGTAATTTCAAGTTATCTCAGCTAACAGGGATGGATACCCTGTGTGAGAAAACCCGGAGAAAGGCTCACAAATTGGCCTCAGAAGAGCAGAAAGACATTCATCACAGAGTCTGGGAGTCACTGGAGCCTAGCTTCAGGGAACACATCATGGGAATTTTTCCTTCACTGCAGTTGCCCAAGCTTGGTTGGATGAATTCCACCCACTGTCAGTGGGTTCAACTGATAGCAAAGAGAGCCCCTCAAGAAAGGATGTGAGTGCAGCTCCTTTCCTCAAAGCAGATGTGACAGAGGCTGGCATGCCAGTGGGATGGGGTGGGGAGGCAGAGAAGTTGCATGAAGGGAATCAGAGAAGGTAAAGGAAGGAAATGCATGGTTGGGCTTCAGGACCTGTGTTTGAGCTGTGTCACTGTTCAGACAATTATAGTCCTGCAGTTGACTAAGTCCTTCCCACCAAGAAACAAGAAAAACAGTAAAAGCAAGGAAAGCAATGTATTGATTAGGATGAAAATAGTTCTTTCAAGCCCTGGGGAAAAAAAGCTCTTTCACGTTCTGGCCAAAGAAAAAACTGTAAACCTACTTTGTGTGTGAGAACCTCATCCTGCTATCCTTCTGTTTCCTCTGACATGCCCAGGTCTGTAAAGAGAGCTTGCCAAGGGTGATTCATCTCTCCTTCCCACTGGAGAGGACATGGAAGAGTTTGGGAAGTAGACCCAAAGCAGTCACCTTCTAGCTGAGCGCTCCCTCTTGTCATTCCACTTGGATGGCTCTGCCAGGCTAAATCTCACACTGACAAATATTATACAGGGTGTTACAGTACCTTCTACAGCTTTGTGCAGAGCACCTTTGGAGAAAGGATGTGTTCTCCATTGTAGTCTTTTTTTTTTATTTTAAAGAGTAAAAGAAGTATAACATAGTAAGAGGGGGGCTTACTGAATTACAGACAAAGTGGTAGGAAATTATTAATGGTGTTTGTTTTACATATTGTTATCTGCAAGATAGTTTCTCTGGAAAACAAATAGACAAATAATAGTGAGTTACAGACAAAAGTGGTAGGAGAATATCAATAGTTGTTGAACTGTACTTTGGTATCTTCAAAGTGGATTCCAAAGAAAATAAATAGAGCTATACTTGAGTGACCAATTGAATAATCATTGACTCTTCTCAATGGTTGTTGTAGGAAACACATAGTAATAAACATACATCCATTTACGAACTAGCATAGGAACAATACAAACATTACAGAGTCATGGACAGATTAGTAGGAAAATATCAATGGCTGCTGTAATACATGGTGGTATCTTCAAAGTGGTTTCTCAGGAAGACAGAGATATGCAAGAAGGATCTAATAAGTAGTTACAGCCTAAGGGTTGTCAAAAATAGCATATTACCTCCTCACCAGTGACTCCTGTCACTGAGGTGTGACGGCTAGAAGGAAGGCCAGGATTGAAAAGAAGGACTGAGAGACTTGCACCTATGTCTAGCAACAGGTTGTTTTCTTGTTCCTCTATAGTCATGATTACCCAGAACTCCTCCATGGAGATGACAGTCTGCCCAGAGGGAGAAGGCAGAGTATGCCCTGGGCCCCCTCATTCCTGTTGGGCTAACTGGTAGAATGGGTTGCATTATAGTTTTAAAGGGTATCTAGTTATGTATGCTAGACCTCATCATCCCTCTGTTTAATATGTTTCCACACTGCCCATTTCCTACCTAGGCGCTCATAAATCCATCTTATTCTTCAAGGTTTACTCACCCCTTTCCTTTATTCCCACATCAATCTTTTTCTGGGTAGATCATTTTTAAATTTGCATTCATTCCTGATTTATCTATTCAGGCTACGTACTGAATCATAAAATCTCTAGAGGTGTGGATGTGGGAGGTCTGATCTAACTTTTAATCTCACCCATCCCTGATACCTTGAACCACTAGTTTCTCATCCATGGAAGCTCTGATCATTCCAAGACTCACTAATATTTTTTCCAAAATTCACCAGAACATACCATCTTTCATGTTATACTTATTGCTGAATTATATATTGTCCTGTATATCACCTTAATTAATATACTGATAAGTTACATGACTATCTCCCAAGTAAAACAGGGGACACAAATGGAAAACAACCCCTTAAATAACACAAAATACAATTTAAACATCCAAGTATATTAAAAACCCATAACAATAGCTAGCATCTAATGTAATGCGTCTTATGTGCAGCTCTAAGTGTTTTTCACAGGAATGTATTTGCCATAAAAACCCTATGAGCTGATAATATTTTTATCTACATTTTTGCATTGGTAAGTTGAGATCTCAGAGAAGTGAAACAATTCACCAAAGGCTATAATTGGCAGGAACCAGAGCCGTGATCATAATCCAAGGTTTCCTGCTGCAGCACACATGGTCTCAACAACCAGTCTGCATGTTCAAAGCCACCCCTCCCACCCACAGGCTCAGAAGTGTGCTGTTTCATAATCCAGACTGCTTTGGCTACAGTTTAATGCAGACATATTCCTGGCTCTTTCTCAGGCACTAATCCTCATATCCCAAATACCCATATCCCACCATCAAGAGGAGTCCCCTGAGGGTTGGATTCAAGATCTCCTCTAATTCCCGCCTTTGGAGTCCCCGTGGGATAACTTCGCTAATGGCTCTGACAGTCACCTGCTTTCCTTTCTCTAACTTGGCCCATTCCCAGATGCCTGGAGCCTTTACATTTTTTCTTCTTGGAGAATTTTCCCATGAGGCTCACTCACCCTGAACATCCAAGAGTCTGTCTCATATTATTCTAAGGTCTCAATTACATACTTCTATTTTTATATGTGATTTAATGTGCATACACTTGCTTTTCAATTTTTCACTCAGTTCTTTGATATATACATACTACATACATATAATATATACAACATTAATATATAGTATTGAAGGTCTTTTCTATCTCACATTCCATCTAGCATCCTTCTTTAACCTGTTAAAGAAGGGCAGGAAAATTGTTGGTGCATGTGATTCCTGCCACTCAATAAAGAGTCCTATATTCTCTTGTATATTCTACATTTCTTTTATTTTACATGTCTGAAAGACATTATGTACTATTCCTCCTGTGAATCCTTAAACAATGAATGCAGTAAATTTATCAAGAATAGCTAGGTTAATTATAAACAATAAAGTAAACTTGAAACAATAATCCTGATTCAAATGGATGTTTAAAAATATGTGCATTTGTATCCAGTCTTCCCTGGGAATCTGTGGGGGTCTGTTCCAGGATTCCCCAAGGGTACCCATAGTTCCTTGTAAAAGTGGGTGCCCTTAACCTACACACATGCTGGATGGACACTTTAAATCATCTCTAGATTTATTAATGTACAGTATGGGTTATATAAATAGTTGTAATACTCTACTGTTTATAGAATAAT